AGCATGGCAGGTCAAAACATCCCTGACCTACTCAAGCATGCTCAATTGTCCAGCCTTGGGCAATTCTGTAGTATCACCAGATGAATTCTGATCAAGGTCAGCTAATGACGTGGTCTATTCCAAAACCAGAAAAGTTGCTCAACCTATATTAAAAAGGAATTAATTTACTGTCTGAAGCACTTGGAAGTCCATTAAAGACTTGAGTTGTTAAGTACAAGCAGTTTTAAAAAAGGTTTGTTTTGGTTTTGCCATACAGTACATAAATGAAAAATATAAATATCCTCAATATGGAGGCATTTTAAACTGAGGGAACTGTAGCTCTCCTGTCAGCACCAAATTAAGTCTGCCTTTCATATACTGTATATAGATATACAATTCAATAGTAATATACTACTGAATATTTAGCCATCTTGATTTAAGATGACAGTTTAATAATAATTTAATAATAATCTAATGCTGATAGATTATTATTTTGTTGCACAAAAATAAGCTATTTAGTTTTCTGGAGATGATGATGATACTTTGAGTAAACTGTTGATTGCAATAGCATACAGCAGTGGTTCTTAGTCCTACTTCAGAGTGTCCCTGTGTCTCTTGCATTTTGTTCCAAATGGGCCTCAGCATCACAGACGACAGTCACCACCCCGGGCATGAGCTCTTCACCCCACTGCCCTCAGGAAAGAGATATAAGAGCATACGGACACTTACCACTAGATTCTTCAATAGCTTCTATTCACAAGCAGTGAGACTGGCGAACACATTTAGCCATCCCCCTCGGACCACACCTACACCATCACCATCTACCTCTTTATGATTTCTTATCTATTGCACTCCAGTCATTGTTTACACGTCTGTATTGTTTACATTCAAACTGTCTACATGTTTACTTGCACATTGTCTATTGTTTGTTTGTACATTGTCTTGATGCACTGTTTGCACTTTGTCTAGTTTTTTACACTTGTTTTACAATCGATAGACTTTCTGTAAGTAAGAATTCCATTGTACCAGTACCGGTTACATATGGCAATAAAGTTCAAGTTCAAGTTCAAGTTCTCAATCACCTGTGCTAATTTGTACCTGTAACTGATCTGTTCAGACTTTTTTTCTAAACTCTAAAGTTTTGGGTTTTAAAAATATACTAGCTAAAGTGCATTATTTCTAACAGCTCTGCACACAGCTCTTAAGAACTTCACTGGATCTAAATATAAAAGATACAAGAGCTCCCCAGGACCAGGATTTATAACCACTGTTTTAAAATATTTCTTAAAACAAAACAAGAAAGGAGATCAATTACTGACATCAATTAGCTCAGGTGATTACGGTATCAGTTGGAACAAAAAACAGCAGACACAGGGTTAGGGTACCTCAGGACCAGGACTAAAAACTGACAGATTGGGATAATGCTTTGTTATCCTTTGGGATGGAAAATGTTATATATAAATGCAAGGAATCATATATTCTAACAGCTGTATAAGTTTACAATTTCTTAGAATTTTTTTTAATAGCCGTGTATATATTTGAAACATCACAACGGAACATATATTCAGTCAGCAATTTCTCATTTACTTTTTTATCTGTTATTTGTAAAATAACACACAAGACAAAATACCAGCCCCAAAATGGACAGAGAAATACATTCTTATAAGGTGGCTTAATCTGCAGTAACTCCAGATGCAGATCATCACATGAAAACCAAAATAAGATTCTGCTTGTATTTATTTTGTTGCAAAATGTTTTAAATTAAATATAAGTTAACAACATGTTTTTGATTAACAAACAACATAAGAAATGTTAAAAATGAGAGCCCATTTGACCAATTTAGCAGAAACGAGTCTCTAGGCTCTCTAGAACTAGGAAGTAGAGGAAGGTTAATTAATGTCACAAAAATCTTAAATAACCACTGGCTAAAATTAAGATCATTAACCACTAGAATATGAATGTCACTACCTCTGTTTCTGATCTAAGAAGAACTTTTCTGAGCGTTTCTTCATTACCGTCTCTCATTTTCTATAAGCTCCCCAGAAACAAGCAGTTTCAACAGAAGTTTTACAAACATTTATTCTTCATAGAACAAGAACCACACCTGAACATTGTAACACACTAATTAAACATGCAGGAAGCAATAATATTAATTAAAGTAAACCAGAAGGAATAAACTTAAGGATGGCATTTCTTTTTTCCATTTTGTGGTACTCTTAGAACATATTTTAAAGCTTAAGAGGCCAACCAGTCCAGGAGATATTGTATTATTATGAAAAGCATTGATTCAGCACAATATACTCTTGGTGGTGAATCGGATTAAGGTTTGATGTGACAGCTTTGAATCCTCACAAATATACACTTAAAGGCTTACCAGTACCAAAGTTAAAGGATTACTAACATACAAACAAAGTGAAATAAATTGGAAAATATATGGAAAATGGCCAACATTTAACTGCTTAGTGTTATAAATATATATTTTTCAGTTTTTGCAAATTGGCTTTTAATGTTTGCTAGAAACATATACTTTATCTTTCTTACAGTGTTTTCTATTATCAGATTAAACAAATGTAATTTTAATTAGTTCCTATACATATTCGGTTAAGGGAACCTGCAGTGAATTGCCACTGAAAGGCAATAATTCCTTAAGGAGCCAATCCTGCTGTATATCACTTTCTGAACTTCAAATCTGTGCAGCTATTTGCATTAGTTTCACGTGATTAGATTCAACTATCTGCTCCTTTGGTCGAGTTAACCTTGAGGAAGTGGCATATCAGTCCTTTGGGAAGATTTTCTCAGGACAGAAGCTCCCTGGTGCTACATTATACAAATTAGAATACAGAAATCACAAAGAAAATGTGAGTGAATGAAAGAGCAAAACAATGTATTCTTTGTGGTTTACACACAATGCTTGTGGTTTCTATGGAAACCCATTATTGCACCCTGGGCTCACACAGGCAGTGGCAAATGGCCTTTTACTCAGTTCAGACTTTTCAGAAATTAGGATGCCAGTACACCACTCAATAGAATAGTCATGCAATGGCTGTAATTCTACCAAAAAGGCAAGAAAGGGACCAGGCAAACACACCAATGCTTTGGTTTTAGACAGTGTATGTCTGGGGAAGTCAATGAGCACTGTTTCTTTCCTAACAATTAGGGAAAAAATAAGTGTCTTTATACAGCATAACCATTATAAATGATGGCAAAGATAGCAGGATAAAACATAAAATTCACACATCCATGATTGTTTTTCATGTTTGGCAGGTTAAAGATTGAATACTGGATTCAAAGTATTAAACTCAAACTCCCTAAGCATTGTTACAACCTCACACCAATAAATGAAATGTATATTTAAAGAGTTTTTGCTGAAGCACCAGACTCCTCAGTAGTCCTCAGATTTTAATTTAGATTCTTTCCAACAGGTAAAATAATGGCATACTATTGTTAGTTTCAGATATATTGTACATACTACAATATTCCATAAGAGATCATACTTAAAATTATGAAATATGAATGTGATTAAACAGATATATTTTAAGACCTTCAAGCATAGAATAAAATATTTTAAATTGCAACACAATTATGGTACAAATCATTGAACATGATGAAAACTGAGAATTGTAACTGATTGTTTAAAGTCCTAATTAGTCATGCAGCTACTCTCTTCTGCAGTTTGGATATGCTAGTTAATAAAGATAAAGCTCTACCTTTCAAACAGATCATTTCTAATATGGCTTTCAACTGTTTGGCAGACTCAAGTGTCTCTCACACAGCTGTGAAGTCACTAAGTGTTCCCTACATTTCCTGGAATGAATTTTGGACACACTGGACAATCACTAAAGTGTGTGTTAGATTCACTGCTGTGTCTCTTAGTTTTAATTACACCCCAAGTACAAAAACTTTTTGGCCACATCCTACATTTCTAGATTTCTAGATTGAATGAGTCAGGGCCAAATGAACTGTTGTACAAAACTGACCAAAAAATATATCACACAATCAAAATAAAAACATGCTAAAAATACTCTCCAATTACAGCATCCTCTAGTCCAAATCCATTGCAAAGCACAGCTACCCATTAATGATGAAAGCAGGCTAAAGACACAGAGACACTCTTACAGACTTCCATGTCCATTCATAGTCTGGGCTCATTCAAGCTCGTCTTCTTAGCAACACCATTGTCCACATGTTGGTACTGCATTACAAAGCGCTGTATTCTAGAGCCACTTTACAGACAACTGAAACAACATTTACAGGCTTTTAGTTTTTGGTTTTGAACATGGTGGTTTGTTGATTAAAATGAGGTGCTTATTTATCAAACACAGAAATACTGTAGTATCCTATACTCCAGGAATGTGACCCTCACAGTAGCACACCAGTGAATAGAAATGTATTATTTTGTATTTGTATTGGAAAGATGTGTGTTCAGTAGTGGCTAGATAGAGAATGTACAGTACTGTACATTGATAATGCAAATGTCTATTATCATATGCCATTTGTATAAGTCAGCTTTGTTGTAAAATGTATTTTAATGACAATAAAAATAATAATGTGATAACAAAAGGTCTTACTTCAGTGAAAGTACTGTATACAAAATATGCTGCTTATTCATGTTTTTTCTGATGTTAATTACTGAAACATACAGTTTGTTGTTTTACTAATGTAATCATACATGCATGTAAAAATGTAAAAATACATAGACATATCTCACTAACTTTCAACGTAATTTGAATATGCATTCTTACTGCTAATCTGATTAAAACAATTTTGAAAATTAATTTTATAAAACTTTTGCTAAGCATACCAGCACTGATTCCTCACTCCATATCCATCAAAAGAGAAATTTACCAGAGCTATGCAAACATGGAGTAATATATGAAAATAATAAATGCAAATTGAATATAAAACTTCTGACACAAGTCACATTGTAACTTTTATTAAAAAATTACACATGCATATATAATAGGTCTATAACCCTAAATCAGGTTCAATATGTAAGAGCTTAAACCAGCCTCAGTACTGACCTTTTTACTGATGTGTGATTCTGTATCTTCCATGCTTTGCATTGTTTAAACCCAATTATCTCCCAATGCTGATGTCTACAAAGGTCCATGCTTTTTCTAAAACAAGGGTAATCCCATTTCCCGTCCCAGGGACATTTTGTAATCTGGACTACATCCTTCCCATTGCTAAGCTGTATCAGGATTTGAGCGCTTTTTTCTGCTCCAGCTGAAGTTGCCTAGTTACCTCTCTCTCAGGGTGGCTGAAACCACTGATACAGCAACCAATGAGGCATCTAGCTGTGGATTAACTCCTTCCTGCCCCATTGTCCTGGTTTCAGGGGAAATAAGGAGAGTGGGCGGAGAGTAGGACCCCCCAGACCGAGACTGAGATATGGATATACAGAAAAAAAGGGAGACAAAATTACTTTGACTTTTGAGAAAAGGGAAGTTTAAATAGATGGGAATATTAGAAAAAAAGGAGTGTCAAAAGAAAACAGATAAAGTGAGGAAGAATTGGAAAGAAAAATGAGAAAGGACAGTAATAGACAGTAAAAGGTTTTGACAAAGTTGAACTACAAAATATATAAAATAAAAAAAAATTAACAGAAAAAACAGCAAAGTTTACTGCATTTTGGTTACATTTTATATGAACCAAACTATAAAGATTTTTGTCTGTAGTGTTCTAAAAGCTTGTGAAAATTACTTAACTGACTACTTTTTCAGTGTATAGACAATGGTTTATTATTCTTCCTGACAGATTAATTATAAAATCTTCTGATGCTATTATCTAAATTCCTACTCCTATTTCTTTTTCTTTGGTTGTCTTCTTATTTTAACCCTGTAAGCCACCTCATCGTGCCTTTTATTGATTTCAATTATAGTTGCAAGACTGAAAAAAGACCCTGTCAGTTTTAATCATTCTCAGGGGGGGAGAATAATGACCCTATAACCTTTATGTCACTGTACTCATTTCAGAAGAGGTAGTGGTGCTTTGGGTCCAATAACATAATGGTAATTCTTTGCATTTATATTAAGATAATAGGCTTTACAGACTATTCACCACTGAAGTGCAGTACCCACCTGGATGACATACAGTAGCCATTCTACTCAACAGCCACACTACCCAGTAGATTAGGTAGTAAGTAATTACCAACTATAATAATGAAGAAAGCCTTACTGTACGAGCCCAGGTGGAATTTAGTCAGGATACCTGGGTTAACGCTCAAACTTTTCAATAACCATGTTAGCTTTATTAGTTTGTTAAATGTCTCATCTGAAGGACGGCACCACCTGCATGTTCCAACAAGGCCAAAGCTTGCTACCTGAAATCTGAGGTGTGACATACACCTGGCTAGGAGGATAAAGGCTTTTGGTGCAAGAGGTTTTCCAGTTTCCCAAAGACTTTCCTCTCCCTGCTGTTCAGTGTGCACAGCAGGAGTTAAAAGCCACAAAGTATTGATTTCACCCAGATCTGGGCTTGTAAGTTCATTCACATCTCTTCACACTGACATGATAGTCCTATGTGAGTTCACCAGAAAATCAAATTAACTCCTTATTTTCCCTGAGGTAGTTAAAAGCTCTATTTTAAATTTTAAATATTTGTATAAAGCTTCAGCAGCAGCTGAAGAAAGTTGGTTCACTAGTTTTTCTAGAAGTGCCTGCACAATTTACATTGCAGAGGATGTATCTGAGTTAAAGTGTTTTCTTTAAGTACAGTATATGATGGTCCTACACAGGGCAGAAATTATCTCAAGAGAATATATAGTTTAAGCACATATAAAGATTATGTTTTTGTGGATTCTGCACTAGAGTAGTCATGTCTGAAGGGCTCAGATTGCCAATTCTGAACACAGACTACCACATTAGAAAGGCTTGATAGGTTAGTGAATCAGCCACATAAAAAAAATCCTTCTTGCATTTTAAATCACAGACATCTAAACCCCATTTTGCTGAGAACATGCAGTTTGGCACATGCAATGTGGTACTGCCCTGCAGTACAGTAATCCCTGTGGTACTGAAGATGGGCATTGGTCACTGTGACTGAATTGGAACATCTTGTTTTGCTCGCACACTTTGTTTTTTTTCAGATTTAATCCTCTAGACACCTCCCACGTTTCCATTTTAACATGTAAACTCCCTCCCTACCCCTTAAATTCACAAAAAAATGGGTCACTTATACTAAAAGGATATAGCAGGCCATTTCATTTTTATTTCACTGTTTGTAATGCTAGATTACACTGATTCCAAAAGACTTAAAATCAAGCTTTATGTGAGAAGGGAGAACCTTTTTTTCTGTGCTGTTTTTTCTACAATAACATCTACATTAAACATTAAACATATCTTATTGTAAACATCTAGGCTGCTGACTTTTCCGGTATTTCTGACTCCATCTCCCTGAGCAGAATAATTTAGCTTTCATAAATAAGTACCTAGATCCTTTTTTTTTAATAATAAATTCAGCATAAATTCTAAATAGAATGATCAACTGAAGAGATAAGAGATCAACATTTTGTAAGGCCCATACCGATTGCCGATTTTCTGTTAGCAGGATTGGCTGATCCCGGGGGGTTACTATCCAGCCAAAGAAACAAAAGATGGTAGAAGTTAAAATTGTTTTATTAACAAGTAAGATAACGATTGTTGCAACCAACTTACATAAAGTAAAAAGCTGCAGTTTAACAGTTCTTTTATCTAATGAAGATGACCAAACGCCATAGGCCTTAAATTACATGAAAATACTCATGCCAAACACTACAGTCCTTAAATTAAATTAAATATAAATGAAAAATACCAAACGCTATAGGCAAGAACTCCATATATCGCTAGTAAAGCTCACTGAGATAATGTTTTTCAGGAAGTCGGTCTATGTGAGAGTAAACTGTCAGACAGAGTTCGGGAAGGGCAACATCTGAAAAGTATTTGCGACCGGGAACGGCATAGCACGGCTCTAGATAAGATATCAAGCGGCATAACCCTACATCTTCAACCACCAAAAATGGTTGGTTATCTAGTACAATAAATTCCATTATTTTGGTCGTGATTCCTTTTGCTTTCGATCTATTGCTGCTGTACTTTTATCTCTCAGATGTTGCCTGCACTGACAGCTGTCTTAATGCCGGTGTAGCTTTATCCGTCTTTTTTAGCTCTGCTAGTTTCCGATACTCACTTTACTTGGTCGGGTGATGTGCTCTTAAGTGTCGTATCACATTAGTTTTACAAACATTGCAAATAGCATTGGCTTGATCTGGATCAGATATTTAAAAAAAACTCCCAGATGGATGACATGTTTTAATTCCAAGACACACGGCGAAATATTGGCTCAGATATTTTGCATCATAGATCGTCTCTAAGTATCGGCCAAATGAAAGCAACAACTGCCGATCGCCGATCACATATTTAGAATGAAAATCAGCCAATTCCGATCTATAGCCGATCGATCCTTCCACCCCACCCCACCCCACCCCAGAGATCACTGTCAAACACATAAACTTTAGTAAACAATTTTAACTTACACTTTATAAATTACAGTTGTTGAAGGTGAATGGGTTGCAATAAGTCAGAGACTTTTTCTTTTCAGATCCTTTGACTGTGGAAGTTTTCCATGGTCTGATTTTACTGATTTACCATTTTAAAAATAAGTATATTTACAACCATTTAATGACAGTGCATATTATACTCAATTACACAAATATGAGGAAATCCCAATGAAAACTATTTTGGGGCTCTGTGAGGAAGCAAGGTTTGAATGGGATCCTGCTGATAATCTATGAAGTCTTGAAATATTTGCAGCCCAGTCCCACTGCATTCTTATAACACGATGACCTTCATCTGGGGATTTAATAAGGGCAATGCTGTGGGATTGATCCTCCCATTCTACCAGATCTATCATTTTGCAGTAGGATAGCAATCAAGAGTTTATTCTGGCTAGGGAAGATGACAGAAGTCAGTCTTATATTCCTGAAGCCAAATACACATAACCATTTGAACAGGGCTTTCTAGAATTTTGGCCAGTGAATATAACTCCTTAAAGATGGACGATGTAGGAAAAAATATGTGTGGGTGTTTATTTAATAAAAAAGTCAAAATACACATTCCATTTATCTTTGCATTAAACGTAGGAGGGAAGAAGAGGTTGAAATAAGCTCTCACAACTGCTTTCACCATTAGACTATACCTGTTCTCATTTTTAAAGATCAGTAGGAAAATACACTAGAGCTGCATTTACAACCAAAAATCTAGTTTCAGTAATTACAAACATTGGAGGTCTTAATTTTAACCATGAAAATGACACAAAATGTTTTAGAACAATGTGGGTTTTAGTCTTTCTCCTTCTGAATGGTACAGTAATTTCTCTATATAAATATATTAGCTCAGTGAAGTTTAAATAAAGATAAAGTGTAACTCATTCAGAGTGCCCTACATTACAAAATCCAGGCGTTTCATTTTGAGTTGAAGACCCTCACACCTGAAGAAGGCTTCACAGCCAAAATGTTGTGTTTTCTCTCTTCTCTTTTCAGCATGGAATAAACCTATTACTTGTTCCTTTGCAGATAACACAGGCTGATGCAACTACCCACCTGAAGTATTTACAGTATATGTATTGCAAGGCGCTCTGTTTTATTATCAGACACTTCAACTCAAGTGTTGTACAGTGATATAGACGTGGGTAATGTCATCCCCATTAAACAATGTGCTTATCGCGCAAATCCTGCTAAACTAAAAATTAGATACAAGTATTATTGGACAACGTTGTGAGGATCTGGCGGAATTTCTCTGTAAACTGAAGAGTTATAGAGGAGACACGTATCACCTCTTTTACACTTGTAAAAAAGAACATTCTACTCAGTGGGCGACGCATTGTTATCTCAATAACCTGCTAATTTGTTTTACACCAAGGGAAGACAGGAGAATGTGATTGTACTGTATCTGTACAGAATGTGTGTTGTGTTTACAAAATTAAAGTGTTTAAAATGTATAATTAAAAATTAAAAAAACAACTTACAGCCTACTCAAAGATTCTAAGATGATCACAAGGAAGTTATTGCATGTCTAATGGTCGAACCCCATTACCCCCATTTTGATTAAAATCGCAAGCGCGTGTTTAATTAAATGCCTTTATTGATTCACAATCTGACAATGCAATGTAAATCATTATCTTTGTCTTCTAAGTCCCTAAATTAACTTTAAGCATAGCTTTCTCACCATTTAGATTTATTTTTCATACCATCGTTAAACAAA